GAATTAGTTACAATACCTGAAAATAAACATAATTTAAGGAAATGTAATAAATGATGTCTAAATACTGATAAAATAGCAGATACGTGATCTTAAGTACACATAACACTGAAATATTGACATTCTTAGACATTCCAAGTGATTATGTGCGGCCTTCAATCTGATTAAAATACAGATCTATATTTCGTTTCGTTTTTTTATACTTTCGATGGCCTACACTACATGAAGATCTAACCGGTTGTAGCGATAGGTCGCGTCAGAGGTCACACGAGCAGCTTTTGACCCTATGCCGTCAGACATTTGATTAACCAATCATCATTGATGTTACAAATGGATTACCCACAGTTCCGTGCAAAACACGCCTAAAACTCGTCGTAACCGTTTCATTAGCTATTCCTTCACATCATTCAGAACACGTCAATGATAACAACTCTTCCAGATCGATCGTAGTGTAGTAAAGACAAGTAAAACGAAATTTTGAACTATAAAAACGAAACGAAATAGGATCTGTGTTTTAATCAGATTGTGCGGCCATAGTCAATTATCGATTTTCTCCTCAGAGCGAAACTCCATTTCCATAAACTTTTGGTATCTTAATTGCCTTAGATACAAAACGTTTGGATATTGATTGCCTTATTTACTCTGTACTCCGGCCATCTTGAAACTAGTATGGAACGTCTAAGAGGTATTGCAATCTATGATACACAATACCAGAATGTACCATTAGGTTTTTGCTTGCACACGACTTGTGAAATCTTGTTGGAACGTGGCAGTGTAATGATCAAAATGATTGTACCCATACCAAAACATTCTAGTATTATTTAAGTCAATTGCTAAATTCCCCTCAATGATTATCCATTGCACACTTACTAGAATCAACGGTACGATGTATTACATTATCTGCTATGACGATATCATCAACACCAAACACACCAATGGCTGGAGAGAAACCGTTGTGGAAGGCACTCTTCTTTACAAACGATGGTAGATCGGAATTAATAGGAACATCAACATAAGACAAAGAGAATCTGGGATCATAGGATTCAGTCCAACCTTCTTGTCCAGTGTGATAAAACTCAACATTCGATATTCTTGCAAATCCTGAAAAGTACACAGATACATTAATAGAATAAAATATTGATAGTTGTTTTAGAGACGGAGGAGCCCACCCTCGATCTGGGAAAATCAGATAACTACGGAATCTGAGATAGAGTTCAATTCAGTATGATATCTTAGAAGGAATTCAATTATTTACAGAAGTGTAGTTAGGTATGACATCTCGGAAGGAGGTCCGTTAGGTATGGTATCTTGGACAAAATGTCTTATTATTGGAAGTAAATTAGAATAGGCATGATTATCTTGGAATGAGGCCAGTTGGGTATGATATCTCGGAATCATGTCCGTTAGGTATGCTTTCTTGGAAGGAGGTCAGTTAGATATGATATCTTGGAAGGAGGTCAGTTAGGTTAAACATCTCAGACAGAAACCCAATAAATCTTGATTCCTTTAAGATGTTCAGATAGTAGATAGGTGAGAAATGTTGGACGGTGTCTAATGGGGTACGAAGCACCCAGTTAATGCCATAGGCATATACATCTGGAAATGAGGTCAATTAAGTATGATATCTTGGAGAGTTGGAAGGCGGTCAGTTAAGTATAATATCTTAAAAAGATGTCAGATAGATATGGTATCTTGGAATGAGGTCAGTTAGGTATGATATCTTGGAAGGAAGTCGGGTCGGTATGATATCTTGAAAAGAGGTCATTTACTATGGTATCTTGGAATGAGGTCAGTAAAGTATGATATCTTGAAAAGAGGCAGTTAGGTATGAATCGTAGAAGCTGTTCAGTTATGTATACATCCTAGAAGGCGTGCAGTTAGGTATGGATCGTGGCATACATAGGCATAGGAGCCGGGGCATTTGCCCCCCCCCCCCCAAAAAAAAATTTTATTTTCGGGAAATGAAAAATTCCACGACCTTTTTTTTCTATTAACGTTTAGAGAAAAAATATAACTAACTTATTTCTATGAGATCCACACTGCCCGAAAAGTATTTTCTCGTCTTTTTCTTGTCCACTGCATGCCCGAAATTATGCCCGAAGCTCTCTTATGATATGTATGCCCGAAAAAACGGTATTGATTTCGGGCAATTTTCTCTTATGCCCCCCTTTTTTTTCTATTAACGTTTAGAGAAAAAATATAATTAACTTATTTCTATGAGATCCACACTGCCCGAAAAGTTTTCTCGTCTTTTTCTTGTCCACTGCATGCCCGAAATTATGCCCGAAGCTCTCTTATGATATGTATGCCCGAAAAAACGGTATTGATTTCGGGCAATTTTCTCTTATGCCCCCCTGAATTACTTTGAGCTCCTACGCCTATGGTGGCATATGTTCAGTTGGGTAATAATCTTGATAACTGTTTAGTTGGGTATACATCTTGGAAACTCCTCAATGAATTAATAATCTAGGAAACTACTCAATGAAGCAAGAATCGTTGAATGTGTTCAATTACGTTCGGAATCATTGAAAGGATGTCGTTTATAGGACGGAATCCCAATAATCACGATATCTTGAAAGCAGTATTCAAATTGACGCGTACGAGTTCAAATTGCTTCATACAGCAGATGAAAGCTTGGTATAATTAAATTATAAAATCATATACTTTATTATATGTACTTACCAACATACGATTTTGTAGCATCAGCAGTTCGCCCAACCAGTATACGGGCACCAAAAGATTCACTCATCAGATTTGGATATTCATTGCCTTTTATTTTTATATTTCTAGTCAGATGACCAACCTCTGCTGCTAATGTGTAAGTTTGCCCCGTGGCAAGAGTTTCTGTATAATCTGAAATGTTATAAAAGTAAACTGCAAAACACCTAAATGCAACAACTGATAAACACCTAAATCCAATTCCCATAAACAATAACATGTTCTTACATTTGTTTCCTTACTGAACCAATAACTATTTTCCTATAAAATAAAGATCTTCCACCAACGATGTATGAAATTTGTCTCATAGCAAATCATCTAAATCCAATTCACCAAAACATTTGTTAAGTTTAAGTTTATTACATTTAATAGTGCTTCTTACCGCAACAGATGCAATCCCAGACTCTATACGATTAATAAAATATATCATTTATATCATAAATATACTACACTAATAAGTAATAAAAATCGACGCATTCAATGGAGCTGTACACTAATAAAATATGTCATTTCGTATATACATATATTATACTAATGATTAATTAAAATAAACATCTTCCACGAATAATCTACCAAGGTTGCCATTACAAAATCGCTGGATATATTACAATGGGCGATGATGCAATGACAGGGAATTACAACAATTTTTCTCTTCGGTAAAAGATCGGTTTTCTGAAGCCCTACAGTGTCTTTGGAATAAATTAGTACAAAATTATACTTTAACTGAAATAGAAATCAATGCTGATTTACTTACACACATGGTTAAAAGCCAGCGAAGAGTTCAAGGTCAAGGTCATCTTATCACTGGATATTGCAGAGATGGTGAAGGTTTCTGTATGCCAGACACTTAAAGATGTAGGAGCGATGGCAATTTCATGACCAACAGCCCAATTGACAGGTACTTTCAGAGTTATCTGGTTCCTACCAGCAACGGCCGGCTGTCCTAACTTCGTCCACTGTACACCATAGTCTTTACCATGTAGATCCAAGCCACCAAACACACCTATTCAATATACGTTTTAATACAATTTATTGACTTAAAGGTGCTCTAGTAGTCATTAATTGATCATTAGCTGCTCGATCGCTCACAGGCAGTTCTTAAAGGATATCCTGCTCGATAGCTGATTGGCATTACAAATCTCATAAGAAATGTTCTGCTCAATAACTGACAGGCCGTACCTAAGCCCACAAGAGACATTCTGCTAGATCGAAGACATGCCGTACCTAAATCCATGGGGCTGACAGAGCGCATCATAGCCCACAAAACTGTTCGATAGAAGATAGCTTACAGGCTATCCACATGTAAGTCCACAAGCTGTATTCTAGTGATCATCGCAACAGACCGCAGAAATCGGATGATTCATCGATAAACTGGCGAATATTCGCCGATGAAACCATGTACGTTACCAAATATACAGTTTACAATTCAGCATATAGAGAGTACTAACGTGGTCTTGAATTCCCTGAACTATAATCAAACTCACCTATGAATTTTGATCCCAGTTCCGCACCATCGTTTACTGGGTATTTGGGTGTGCTGTGTTCGCCGTGTAGAATGATTTCAGCGTTACCGTCAAACGGATCATGTTCCCACCCAATCACAAGACGGCCTTTGATCAGGATAAAGTCAACATTAAGAGTGAAGCTTTTGGAGGGATCATCTTCGAACTCCAATCCACCGTCTAGTATCAGATTACCCAGCCTTGGCGGTGACACGTCCAAAATGATCCAAAAATCTAAAATGAAAAAGAAACACGTTGATCATAAGTTAAAGAAAATGGTTTATAGATTATTCGATCGGATAAGAATGTACCAGAATGTTGAAAGTGATTTGTGTATAGTTTATGACCAAGGATTGTTCATCCCGTGCAATCTACAATATTTTGAAAGCTGAGACTCTAAAAATAATAACGATAATAGCGCAAAATGCCAGTGGTTTGATTTCATTCTTTCATGGATTGCACGTATTTAAAATATGCTTTCTTTTGTAATAAAAATGGAAAAGTGACATCATTTCTCTACAAACAGGGGCGGACCCAAGAGCCAGCGAGACCCCCAAACCACCAACACCACTAAATACACGTCCTTTATTGGCCATCACAGTTCCAAATAAGTAATTCAATTATAAAATATCCAAATATTTTATTAAAATCCGTCATCTAAGAAAGGAAATATCATTTTATAATTAAGTTTCCAGTCGCTTCGCTCGTCGTCTAGAAATAGGCATTTTTGCATGCGATGCGACCTTGGCGTATATTTTCTCACCCACAAAATTGATGATAAACTCAAATCATACCTCGTCCAATTGTTAAATCATCACCGTCAACTGGTTTGGTTATATTCATCTCAAGCCACGTGTTATCATCTGACCATAGCATTGACGTATTGGGACGAGTTAGTACAGTCGTGGGATCTGGTGGTGGTATACAGTCTGTGTAGTAACATCGGAACGCTTTAAAATCATAAGCTCTGTCCGTATCATATACAATGGCTCCTCTTCTCTTTCTCGACTGACTGGCAGAAACTAAAATAAATGAAGTGAAATTTAGTAGGTGAAGTTGTAATACTAAAGGGTTGATTCCTTTGGTCTGGATACATGCAGAGAGAGAGAGAGAGAGAGAGAGAGAGAGAGAGAGACCCAATGGTATACCTTATGATCTAAACCAGTTGCGTTAAACCATTTGGTCACCACCCCACCGACCCTCGTTTGGAAGGTTCAGCATCGATCAGATTTAAGGTTTGACTAACAGCGAGGATTATGAGTTAACTATCGTTATACCCACCGATGTAGCTTAGCGTTCCAGTGGTGTAGTTATACCGCCAATCACCATTTTCCATAGTAGAAGGATCTAGATCGGTTGTTTGCTCTGTACGTGGTGTAGATCCATCAATCATCACTCGATCTGGTTTCTTCTCTGTCTGTAGAGTAAGTATCATGGCTTGTCCTGACTTTAAAAAAAAACCACAATTATTTTATGACAGGAAGCATTCAAAGGGAATTAAACCTCGCCGCTTTAAAGTCCCATTGCGTCATTTAGTGCAATAATAAGTCTCTTGCAAACTACAATATTGTTAAAGATGAATATCAAATAGGAATATGTGTCCGCCATGGGGTGTCAAAATGTTTACCCTCCCACCCCACCCCCACCCTAAAAAAACCAACAGAAACCAAATAAGTTAGGTATTATATTTACCTCAAAGTTGTGAAAAACTCCATTATAGCTGATATTTGTTACTTGTTCGCCGTTTTCAAAACTCATCTTATAACTTTCACCATCAACCATTATTACCACCCAACCAGGTTTGTGAGTTATTCTCTTAAATCGATACGGTCCACTTACATTTCCAAACTGGTTTTCAATTACAACATCTTTAGATTCCAATGAAGAGGGTTTGATGTTATTAAAGGCAAATCTGTGGAATTTAACGTCTGCTTGACATGTGCTTCCCGGTACAGTGCCAACACTAAAGGGGACGGCAGAACTACATTTAGCAGGTGGAAGTATACCCATAGAGGGTACTACTGAATGCCCAGCGCTTCCTGTCAACGAACCATCAATATCAATGATAACACCCTCATGTTGCCAGTCCAAGTGCAATCTTCTGTCAGCGTTGTTGAATCCTAAACCTGTAGTTTTAGTGATGAATCCTCCACAATTTACCGAACATGTTCCTGTGATCCTCGTAAACCGGAATGCGGCACATGAACTACGATCAAAGTTGACGAACTTTGTGCCCTTAACCATAAAACCGTTTTGGTAAGGTAAAATAACACCACCATGGGTGCAGCCGTTAGATACCTCCGTGTCTAAGTTCGAGCTGTAACCAACAATTAAACCACCTCTTACCATCGGTCCGTCTTCAGCATACTGAGGAATTCCCCCTGAAAGTAACTTGCCCTCATAACCAGCCTTTTCATTGTTTACCAATATAAAATCTTTAAACTGAATAGCACCGCTGTTGACGGCTTCAGCACCCTTTTCACAATTCCATGCTGTCAAAGATTCATACACTGCAACCTCTGAAGCAGCACTTTGTGAACAGGATCCGCCAACTTTGGGGAAGTAGTCTTCAAAGATCCACAAGCCAAACCAACCAAACGAATGGGCAGTATTGTTTTTGAATTGACCTAAGGGTACATGTTTGGGACAAATTGTGTTAGTTTTGGACGGCCCCTCGGGATGTAGGTGCATGCGATACCAGAATCCAAAATGGCTGCCTCCAGCGGCTGCGTTATGTCGTATAGTGTTATTTGGATTCGTTACCCAGAAAATTGCCGGAGTAATATCATCGTTGAGAAGTGAGGAACTGCCTCGAACAAATACACCCAAGTTGTATTGGATTATGTTACCAGTTTCAATACCATCCTCCAGGAAGAAAGCTCCGCCCATAACATTGTAAATTACGTTATGTTCTACGAGAAGATTGTGGGTAAAATGAATATTGATAGCTCTATTGAAGGTTTCGTGAATAGCACAGCCTCTAACATACGAAGCAGACATATCCCCATTCAAATGTAAATGTATCGGATATCTCCCGAGTCGGAAAGCCTGTCCAGCATAGTTAACTTCAATATAACTGATTCGACCAATTGCCAGATTCTCATCCTTTCTTGGAGCGTGCAGCATGATTTGGGCACCGAACTGGTCACTGCCCATTTCCTGTCCAAAGCGACCCTGGAAGCAAGTTTGGGTGGCAAATTCTCCTGTATCAAATCCGTCAGGACATGCTTCAATTTTGTCATTCCATTGCATGTTTCGTGAACCCCGGACAACCACATTATGCGTCAACAACCCCACTTCAGCTCGGAATTCCACGGTCTGTCCATCAAACGTCTCCGAGATCCCAATATGAGTATAGGTCAGGGCCTTAGTGAGTGTTAGAGACAGCTTATCGCTCGATATACTGGCTATGGTGCGCACCTCATTTTCTCTTTGAGAGTGACGATGGCTTGTTGTGGCAATAACTATTTGATCTCCGACATTCCATTCTACTGGATGTTCAAGAGTGATGGCTGTAGCTCCTGCCGATGCTGTTGATGCCAGGCGAGACCAGGTCACGTGGGTTGGTTTTCCTGAAACACAAACAGAACGTTTAGCAATAAACACTATTTTAGACTGTTTCTTCGGTATTTTAAGATGTGTGACCCCGAAAACAAAATCGTCTCCATTTGTTATATTCGTCAAATTTCGTTTGTTTTAATGGGACAAGGTGGTCAAGTTCTCCAACACGTGCGCTTTAGGTCATAAGGTCTGAAATCGACGAAGTGTCGTGGTATCGACATAACACTATTATAGTGATAACAGAGATCATTTTAGTAAATATATGATTTATTTACATCGGAACAGAATATAAAACAACTACATAAATACAACAGGAACTAAAATTACACCAGGAACATAAACGATAACATTAACATGGTACATTAAGACAACCATTCCGTCCTTCTGCCTCGGCAGCGGCTGAACTCGGGTGTGTCCATACGCTGATCTCAACATCTCTTGTTTCGTCTCCGCTCGTACGTCTGTCAGCAAACTCCGACAATAGGGAAAATAGATAAGACTCATGATCATATGTAATTGTCTATTTATCACGTCACGGTATGCTTACTGACCAGTGCGTATTCCTTTGAAGTACTGCGGAGCTTGTACACAGAACATATAGTTTGTAAATGACATATGGGATTAATTACATGTTTAATTAGATCATAGCCAGTTCGTGCCTGAACAGAAGTATATACAGTGTTAAAAAGTCGATATTATCAAAACCAGCTGGGGTCAATAAGTTCACAGAATCTAAATAATAGTTTGTATTTTATAAAATAGAAAATTATCGGCCCCTTGTTTGTGCGTCTAAACTAGCGTTATCTGCACCCCATCCCCACCCTCCCCTCTCCTGCGTGCAAGCAAATGGTTGAAATAGAAATGTATTATATTTAAGAGTGTGCCCCACCCCCTCTCGTAATAGAGCGTGGACACTTACCATGTAAATCTAACGTTCCATCTCTTACAGCCAAACATTTAGCTCCATATATAGGCAATTCTGGTGATCTTAAATTACCAAACATGGTTATAATACCTTTGTGTTGGAATGGTTCGGCTTCAGTACCAACCTGACAAACGGGAAAATAGAAAAAAAAATATATCAAATATATTACATATTAAAACCAATAGAGCCATATGATTACATAATCAAACAAAAAAAGATTACATATTATAACTGACCGAGCAACGTGATTACATATTTCAACCGAAAGAACATATTATAACCGATAGAACTGTGGTTATATATTATAACCGATAGAACTGTGGTTACATATTATAACCGATAGAGCAACGGGATTACATATTATAACCGATAGAACTGTAGTTACATATTATAACCGATAGAACTGTAGTTACATATTATAACCAATAGAACTGTAGTTACATATTATAACCGATAGAACTGTGGTTACATATTATAACCGATAGAACTGTGGTTACATATTATAACCGATAGAACTGTGGTTACATATTATAACCGATAGAACTGTGGTTACATATTATAACCGATAGAGCAACGGGATTACATATTATAACCGATAGAAAAGTAGTTACATATTATAACCGATAGAACTGTAGTTACATATTATATCCGATAGAACTGTGGTTACATATTATAACCGATAGAACTGTGGTTACATATTATAACCGATAGAACTGTGGTTACATATTATAACCGATAGAACTGTAGTTACATATTATAACCGATAGAACTGTAGTTACATATTATAACCGATAAAACTGTGGTTACATATTATAACCGATAGAACAACGGGATTACATATTGTTATCGACAGAACGTGACTACACAATACAACCTATAGAAGAATGTGATTACATAATACAACCGAAAGAACAACGTAATTACATAATATGTAATCACGTTGCTCTGTCGATTTATATGTACCTCAGTCATATTTATAAACTACAGATGTAACGACGCTTCAAAACCATGCCAAGTATTACGCAAAAGGATTTCCTTATGTCCCACAGCAAGCAAAGAAAAATAACTAATTCGCTGAGAATTTTAAAAAAAAAAGAAAAATTTATGAATACGGTACTCTCACAAAACGTCCAAATAAAGGTGTTTCAAAATGTTTTATTGCTATTTTGATCATTTAGGTTGATAGATAGTATATTTATAGACTCATTTTTGAGAAAATCTCAATTTCGACCAAAATCAATATTTTCACATGTTATGTTTGTTGCTCAATATTAGAATTTGCGCATTCCGACTCATTTAGCCAACGCGCGTCACATATAATGACGGAATATACGTCACAGTTACGTAATAGGTTAATTATCTATATGGTATTTAAATGTTGTTATGTGGGTTGTTATGATATAAAGAACAAGTTATAATAATTAGTCGTTTGGCAGTGAAATATATTATAATAATATACTGATATTTGATATATATACAGATAGTGTATACTTCCTGTTATACACAGTTTAATATATTTTACAACCGACAGAACAATGTGATGACATATTATAACCGATAGAATAGTGTCATTATATATTATAACCGATAGGATAGTGTCAATATTTAATATTGCCGATAGAACAAAGTAATAACACATTAAAAACCGATAGAAAAGTGTAATTACATATTATAACCAATAGAACAATGTGATTTTACATTGTAACCGATAGAACAACGTGATTACATGTTATAACCGACAGAACAACGTGATTATATATAACCAGTTATAACAACAAAATGCTGAAAAGAGAGAGAGAGAGAAATGGGGTTTAACGTCCACTCGACACAAACTAGGTCATTTCGGGACTAACATATGGTTTAATTTTATTTCAATAATTTGCTTGCACGTAGGGGTCTTTAGCAGTGGGAGGAAACCGGGGGACCCGGAGAAAACCCACAAGGTTGGACAGGCGACTCTACTCCTTATCACGTACAACCGGGGATTCGAAACCACGCCAGTTGACTCAATGACAGGCTTTATAATACAGCGCGCACGTGCTAACCATTCGACGATCCCCCCGCCCCCCAAATGATGAAACCTGTTTTAAGCGACCATGGTTTGGTAAAACGTGAGTATAGGTATATTACCTGTAACACCCCGCCATCTAATATTAGAATGTTTTCTGCTTTCAATTCCACGTCCTTCTCATCAAAAATCAGTTTTCCGCCTAAAAATGGAATTACATGTACACAAAAATGATCAAATTTGCTCACCAATCGCAATTTTCCACCTTCAGTATCCCGGATGGGGCAGAACAGTGTGACGTCAAACACTATTTCATTCGATTTCAATCTTCATTTCGCTTTATGTTTTGTATATTGATTTATCTATAGATTAGTTCTTAAGGTAGTATGTGGTTTTATTTAATATTATTGGGTTCGTAATGAGAGAGAGAGAGAGAGAGAGAGAGAGAGAGAGAGAGAGAGGGGGGGTTAACGTCCACTCGACAGAAACTATGTCATTTCGGGACTAACATATGGTTCAATTTTATTTCGATAATTTGCTTGCGCGAAGGTGTCTTTAGCAGTGGGAGGAAACCGGAAGGTGCGGAGAAAACCCACGAGGTTGGACAAGTGACCCTACTCCAGTTGACTTCATGACAGAGCTTATGTTGCAGCGCACACGAGCTAACTATTCAGCAATCCAACCCCTCGAATCATAATACAGAAGTATGTGGTAGTATTGGGCAGTAATTTGTAATATTGGGTAGTATTCGGAGGCATTATGTAAATCGGTCTGCCGTAGCTAGGCCTACACTCAACTGAGAGTGGCAAACGTGTCTTATCATAAAGATATTGAGTAGTTTGCATGTAACGAGTATCATGATAGTGGCAGTTTATGCTTATATCTATTTTCAATTAGGACAGTGTTGTCGTTTATGGACTGAGATAACAAAAAGCATTTTGCTTAAAAATCACCGCATTTTAATATCATCTAAATCTTACCCTGAATGACCAGCATTTTTAATATGGCGGTGTCGGTATCCAATAGTAACGTCTGATTTCGTGGTATTATTACTAAATCACCTTCGGTTGGAGGATCCTGATTACCCCAAGTATAACGCGAAGACCAGACGTCAATATAATAAAATTTAGCGCTTGTCTGAAAATACATATTACAAAAATATATTAAATAAAAGTAGGAAAGATCACATACGACACAGATTAGTTAGTAAGAAATGGCAGGATTTTTAGCGTGTGGCGAACATCTGGTTTATTTTGAATGTTAGAAACAACACGAATCTCAGCATGTAGCGTATGGGTAACATGTAGAATGTTTTGAATGTTAGAAACAACACGAATCTTAGCATGTAGCGTATGGGAACATCTTGAATGTTTTAAATATTAGAAACAACACAAATCTTAGCATGTAGCGTATGGGGAACATCTAGAATGTCGTGAATGCTAGAAACAACATGTATCTTATGCAGTGTACTGGAAACATCTAGAATGTTTTGAATGTTAGAAACAACAGGTAGCGTAGTTTGGAGCTAAGAAGCAACTCGAATCTCAACATATAAGCTATGGGAACATCTAGAATGTTTTCATTTTTAGAAACCGTAGGAATCTTTACTAAAAACCGGATGTTTAGCTTGAGATGAACATCTAGTTGGTTTTGAATATTAGAAACCTACCTGTTTACCGATACCACTTCCTTGTATTTCAACGGTTACTTTAGTATCTGATGGTTTACTTGGTCCAGTTACACAAACTATCTGTGTAGCTGATACTGTTGTTACATTACATACAGCACTATCTATAGTTACTGATACATCTCCTACAGTTGTACTGAAATATATAAACATTACATTATATATCAAACTTTACATTATGTCCACATAGAAACATAGATGTATTGATAATACACGTATATCAAACATTACATTATGTCATAGAAAAATAGCTGTACTGAAAATACATACAGCACTATCTATAGTTACTGATACATCTCTTACAGTTGTACTGAAATATATAAACATTACATTATATATCAAACATTACATTATGTCCACATAGAAACATAGATGTATTGATAATACACGTATATCAAACATTACATTATGTCATAGAAAAATAGCTGTACTGAAAATACACGTACAGTGCATATCAATATAATTTATAATTATATATATCAAAAATAATCGGTTGAGGAACCCTGAAAATAGACATTGTCAAGCATGACATATAGGTGTACTGAATATACACGTACATCAAACGTTACATTTTGTCTATACCTAAATGTAATTGTACTGAAATGATTATTTCTATGCTGAAAATACACATAAATTCATACTAAAAATATAATATTTGTACTTCAAACACATGTATTTAAAACATTATATATAGTCGTATTGCCAATATAAGTGATCTATTGTAATTAATATCGTGGCTATTCTTACCCAAATCCAGTGCCTGTTATCGTAAGTGTGGTTCCACCAGCAGTGCCACCTCGTGCAGGAGATACTCCCGTAATTTCAGGCGTTAGACTGGCGTCGTAGGTATAACCATTACTTAAAGTCTGGGTGATCGTGTTAACTGTTGCTACTACATCACACTGAGTGGTTGCGGTTACGGTACCTGAGACATACATGGTGATAATAGATAAATCATAAATCAAACTGAGTTGTTGTTTTCTTTTCTAAATCTATAAACGATGCTACAACTGATAAATACAAAAAGTATGAGCATGACGCCATCGCCGTCATCTTGGAATTTTTTCGAAGACTGTGGTCCCCAAAATGAAAAAGTACAAGAACAAAAAGATGAATAGCCCTTTTGGACTATAGTTCCTGATCTAGTATGTGAAATGTGTGGTACTCCCAGTTTAAATTCTGACATATAATGGTTAAACTGTTATGTCTCCAGGCCTACCCACCTAGGTTCCCTATATAAAACAGTTCGAGTTAGCAGACTACATTCAGCTTGCCAAATTTGAATTCCTATGTGTATGTACAATCTATAACCCTTACCTGTAGCAGGAGGAGTTAAGCAAACATATGATGTAGACGTTTGTTGAGCGGTGGATTGTAGAGAACATGGTTGTCCACACACAGTTACTGTCATAGACCCCCGTACAAAACCACTTCCACTTAATGTAACACTCTGTCCTCCAGATGAGCTCCCTGTATAATATAAAATATAAAACAAATATTAGGTAGCATTTTACTTTAGACCAGTTGAGACTAAAACATATTTTGTCCTTAGCAGTATATTTCAGACCATTTGTCACTAAAATCTATTTTCTCCTTAGCAGCACTTTACTTTCGACCATTTGAGATGAAAACATATTTTGTAATCTTAGACTTATTCACGAAAACTTAAACTAAGATACAATCAAAATTTTAAGAAATACTGCAATTCGATTGGCTGACCAGTAAAATGAATTTGCATATATCCAATTTGCATATTGGTCAGCCAATCGAATTGCAGTATTTCTTAAAATTTCGATTGTATCTTAGTTTAAGTTTTCGTGAATAAGGGCCTAGATCTTTAGATCAATTGAGATCAAAGCATATTTTTGTCCTTGGCATTTTACTTTAGACCATTTGAGACTAAAACATATTTTTGATATGATAAAAATAACAACCACAAGTTCTATGCTTAGCATAGGGTCCTACTTATCACCGATAAGAAGCGGAAAGAGCGTTTTTGGTGATCATCCATAATTGTTTCAATGATATAGATTATGGCCAGAAAAGACCGGTATTAGATTAGGTTTAAAATAAGTATAATAGTAATATTAATATCCTAACGTTTCTGGACAGCATAGGAGCTTTTGTCTGCAAAGAAAACAATTATCATCATACCTGTTGATGGTGAAATTGTTGAAAAAGTCATCTCATATGTAAATTGGGTGTTGGAGTCACTGAAGCCGAATCCCGCAACATTAACCACAACTGGGTAAGCGCCAGATGACACATCACCAAGAGTACACGCTATACTGGTAGTAGAAGCAGCTGTCACGACACAAGGGACATTGTTGATGGTAACAGAGTTGTCTTCCATGGTTGAGCTGAATCCAGTACCGGTGATGGTGAGTGTGTTAGTCGCGGTTCCTTGCGTTGGATTAATGCTTGTCACGGCTGGTGAAGCACCTGATGCATATGTGAAAGTCTGGCTGGTATAGGACACGGTTTCAGATGTAACGATTACGTTAGTGCTTCCTACCGCATGCGCTGGCGTACTACATACAACCAAACTAAATGTAACATTCATCACTGGACAATCGGAGCCGTCAATACTAACGGTTGTATTTATGGGAGAAAATCCGTTGCCATTGATCTTCAGTAGTAATCCACCATTAATGCTTCCTTGAACTGGATCCAAGCTGCTGATGGTTGCAGGACTGTCTATTGTTACTGATGTTACTGCCCTGCCCTTTCCAGCAATGTACACCTCTAACGGATGGGTTCCTGTTTTAACTCCACCTACAGCACAATCAATCTGTGTAGCAGTTACAGTGGATACCACACATTCTTCTCCGCCTATTACGACCCGAGCATCCGCTGTTGTAGTGCCGAATAAAGTACCTGTGACAGTAAGAGATGTTGTTGAGCCAGACACCGTAGTTGGGGAGACTGCTGAAACCGTGGGCGAAGCAGCTGCATCGTAAGTGTATGAACATGATGCACATTCAGCAGTAAATTGTTGTCCACCTACTGAAATGATCACAGATACTTCAACTTTACCAGCCGACAATGGAGGTGTAGAGCAAATGATCTGTGTGTAGGTTAAAGATTGAATCTGACATGGGTAGATGTCAATGTTGACAGAGACATCCGATGTTGTTCCTTGGAATCCGGAACCGGTCAAGGTTAAGATGGTGCCCCCGGCTGTTGATCCACTTGCTGGAGAGATACTTGAAACACCTGGTAAAAGAGCGAACGTAGAATTTGCCAAGTCCACGAGAGCAAATCCCCGATTTCCTACTCTTAATGTGAGTTTCTGCTTTGTTCCAATAACAGGAGATGTCGATGGGTCTATTTTAAAGGAAAATGAAGAATCCGAGGCTGATTCAACTACTCCACGTCCATCACCGATCATAACCTCATTCTCACAGTTGTTTGACCCGAATCCAGAACCAGTTGCCGTTATGAGATCATTAGATGTACCGCTGATTAAATCCATGCTCGTTACCTTCGGTGAAAGGCATGACCAGAACATAAAGTTGAACTTTGAACTATCAGAAATCGATGGTTCAGCGTCTGAACAGCCACTGATGGCCGCTGTTGTTCCTGGACAGGATCCGGAAGAGGAAGGGTTTGCACCACCTAAAATAAACACAAGACAAATAAAACGCATCTATGATGTCAAGACTTTGTATTTAGAACCAACAAGGTGATGTTTTGTGAATGAACAGATTGATCACAACGGAATCGAATGTGTCTTGGAACTGTTACGATGTGTCTTTGGACATTGATTTTATAATGGATCTTGGGACAGTTTTGCATAGTTCATACATATTTAAAACATTCTATACAAATACTGTAAGTAATCACAGACAACAGTCCATAAAATAAAAGATGCAATCGAGATAATAACAAATGGACTGCCTAAATGGTAAATATTAAATAATTTATACCAGAACCAAAGACGGGTGCATACATATTTAAACAATCGGGCAGGTGTTTCTACTGAAGGCTATTAACCAGCTTCGTGTAAGCTAATATAGATATACACAGGTATAAATAGACTTGATATACACTTATCTCTAATTTAACAACGTAACCCGTAGGTGTCATGAAACATTGCTATTAAACAGGCATTATGCAAAAGCTAAATATGCTTATTACAGGTCTTTCTTTAGGCCTCAAATGTTATCTAAATTATTAATTAGACATTAATTAACTTATCCAGACCATAATCAATTCGGGAAATTCGCAAATGGAATTGGGTTAAGCTTCCTACTGTTCTGCTCCGACGACTGGGCTAATGGAGACGGGCAAACGCCATACAGTGTGCTTTAAAGGAAATGTTGCCCGGACAGCGACACTACATCCTACTCTTATATCAAATTCCAACTGCCATGGGATCTTTTACGTGCACGCCAATGAGTACACGGAACCTCGGTTTTTGGTCCATCCAAATGAATTTTATGCTGTCTTTTGCGAGAACCTCCTCCTGGAAACCACGCCGGATAAATCTCCATGAACTTTCTCGGTCAACGCCGTGATCGAACACGGAATCTCCAGATTAAATCCCATTGGAAATCCGCATATTTAACAAAGTTTGTACCTGTTTGATAAATTGCTTCATGACCTGCGATCTTTAATACGAGTTGTTGAGCGTGAGATGGTTGATCTGTGACTGTAATGGTTCCCCTATATGATATTATATCATATTCATCTACAAAACCACTCCAATAATAATATGTACCAGGTTTAGTAAACCGATATTCAAATACTCCTGAAATATCAGCATTAAATATGTGAAGTAAATGACAAAATTAAATCACTTGCCCTGAAATGAAATGTGGGTTTAACGTTCTTCTTTTCTGCACCAACCCGGATAACGCAGTCGGGCTTACGCCATACACTGTTTTATGGAGGAATTTCGCCTGGACAGTGCCGAACTCTTATTTCGAATTCCTACTGCCAAGTGTTCTTTTATGTGTACACGGGATATCAGTGTTTCACCCCATCAGAATGACTAGACAATGTGCATTGACAGAGTGTAAACCATGAGAAACTTTTTCGGCCAACACCGAGATGGAACCTCTGATCTACTCGCGGGGACACCGTGGACATTAATATTAAACTGGGTAAATCTGACTGAATATAAACTACAATTACGAGAGATCTAAATTGGATGGTTGATGCTGGCAACATTTCAGAGATGGTCGTTATCTTTGAAAGGCGTGTGTCCAGGGAGGGTCCGGGCATAGCTTATTCACCTACATTCATCGCAAGGGAGAAGCGTTGCCGCCGTTTTGGTCCCACTCTAACCATAACGTGCCTAAACGAACAGAAATAATCAAATTTTCGGGTAATCCCCAAGACCTGAACTCAACCCCGACGTTGTCTACACCCCAAGACTCTCCCATGCTCAAATTCCTGGACATCCCCTGCTTACACTAAATGTTTTAGTGTTCTCGTATTATTTTTATGGATCCAAGTCAAGTCATACGATATATATGTACTTCTATTTTGATCTGATATGATTATTCATTTCTACTCCAAGATAATCTACATCACATACCGTTTGCGGTCTTTGGTCCCGATGTAAACCCGGCATCTGCTGGACTTGTGCTACTGGCATTCACTGTTTGTACAACACTGAGCTTCAGATTCTTTATCCATTGTGGTGTCATCCATTGAAATTTTACTTTAGCACCGACATGCACAGACTCATGGCTTGGATTCCAGGCGTAACCATATCCAAAATCTATAAAACATACAAACCATAGCTAACTTTTACAATTGTTTACTTTTCTTTACTTTATGAATTAATTATTTTATTATCCTTAAGTAAAAATGTTATCTGCCAAAATATGTCTACCATCTACACATTTAGCTATCATCTAGCTTGCGACGTTTCAGTCCACAAACGAATGTTCCTCGTGTTCATACAGTCTAGAAGGCCAAGATACAAATGCTTTACCCACCATTGCACTAGCTTCTGTATCTACAGTCTCCGGAACCGCAAATATAGCACGATTTGCATTATTTTAGAACAATAGTCTCTGGAAACTATGAAAATCTCTACCAAATTTCCATATGATCTTGCCAGGGTGTGCTCCGGTGTTTTGATTAAGAATAGCTTCGTGGAACTATGAAACTATCCGTACTTTCACGTGGTCTTACTAGGTGGTTCAAGTACTTTGATTAAATCTCGAGGAATTATGAAACGGTGTACTTTTATGAATGAGTTCCGGTATTTCGAGTATCTATGAAACTTTGTTCTTACCTGGGTGAGTTCCGGTATTGCGTACATCATGTATAACAGCTGTATCTTCTATGGTACAGATGATCTCAGTTGCCGTAACATTTTCAACATTGCAGATATGTTTCCCAAACTTAACATCCAGTATGGATTTATCAGACGTAAAACCGGTTCCAGTTACGGTGACCCGTGTTCCACCATACAAGGAACCCTTGGATGGGAAGATATTGGTAACTTGAAGTGTATACACTATGTTGGCTATACTGTTTGTACTGAATTAGAATGTGTACAATTATAGTAACGTTGAATATTAGATGTTTGTGTATAGGTTTACAAGGGTTACGAGAGTTTTAATTTAAATCATTATATTCTATTGGCTTGATTAATGTTATTTCGAGAGAGCAAGAGAGAGAGAGAGAGAGAGAGAGAGGCATACCATTATTTAGAAAACAAAAGTGTTTCGAAGCCATCTGATGATTATGATACTTCTCCCTACTGATTCTCCTGGTAAAAAGTCCACTTACCGTAAATCAGCAAATCCTTTAGCACCGATTTGTAATTGAACTGGATAAGAACCTGGTGGGTTTGATGGTAGGATAGCGACAATTTGTGTATTACTATAACTAGATATAGTAGCACTACTTGCACCAATCTTTAATGCATCACTAGAGGTCGCTGCTGATCCAAAACCTGTGCCATCAATAGTTATTGTGTCACCACCTGCCAAAGATAAAATAAAAATCCGTTTTTCTGTATAAACTGTGATGCTCAGTGCCGCATTTACCTATAGGCTTAGCCGACTGAAGCCCTGTGCCTTAAAATCCTTGAGGCCTGCAGTAAGGTATATAAGGCATTGTCCTAAACATCGGTTATCATCCTCGACTTTGAGCTTTTGTGTTTAAAACTCTTCCTCTAATTATGAGGGCGGGGGATTGCGAGGGGCCTCACAAGTGGAATAGCCTAGGACCCCCCTTCCCTTTCTCTAAATCCGGCACTGGTGGTACCTGAAGTAAATATTAACTTCTCTCGTTAGTCTAAAGAGGTGATTACAGTTCAGCTTACCTTCTATTTTACTGGTGGTTGTAGATATGGCCGTAATGACAGGGGTACTGGATGATGACGCATCATATGTAAATTGTGTTGGTGACGTCAATGGAGAACCCGGTGATTGGTTGACGATGACATCAGTAGCTCCACCTCCGGTAGTAGCCTGCAATAAATTGATTAGTAAATAAGTTTTCTCCATTACCACTTAATATTGAAAAAAAGTAAAACCTCTCTTATTTCAGAAATTATGTATTAAGAAATTTAAACCGAAAAATAAATGTTGATTATTGTTGATATTGACTTACAGATTGTGGTGTCAGACAGACTAATTGGCCAGGAGCAGCTGAAATGACGCCACAGTCATTACCACCAACTGTTACCGTGGCGTTCAACATAAAACCATAACCAGTAATGGTTAGAGTTGTTCCTCCTGAAATATTATAATTCAAGAAAATAAAAATCAGGCATCCAAGTGGAATTATTTTTATATTTTTAACTCTATATTTTTAACAATAGATAGCTAAAGACGGTAGCACCCCCGGGATCTAATTTTAGGTGTCCTCGCTTAAGCGCCACCTTTAATTAAAGAACGCATTAGTGACGTCATTAATATGACGACGGCCAATTCAGAAATGGTGTTGATGTTTTAATAAATCATCCAATTTGTTTATTTTGTTTGTCAAAAGTAGCTGTTAGTCGCGTTTCTAGCTCTTCCAATTGGCAATATAAAGTCAGTTTCGGTTTCACGTTAGACGTCAAAAACCACTTCTTAATTACGTGTGGCATTCGAAAGGAGAACTGCTATTGTTCTTTTACGCGCATGCCAATGTGTACTCGGGACCTTGGTGTTCGTCCCATTCGAATAGGCCCTCTGTTCTGCAAACTGACAAGGGGAAACAACACTGGAAAATCTCGAGGAAATTTCTCGTTCAATACCAGGTTGAAATATGAGACCTCCCGGTAAGGGAACAAGCGTGGCACCCATTTAGCATAATGCATACCGGATGTGAAAAAGCATTAGACAAACAGCCAAATTTAAGGATATATATAGTGAACATAAACACAAACCTCCAATACTTCCGGTTGTAGGTGTGATAGATTGAACAGCCGATACATATTCAAACGTCACAGTTCCACTTGCTTTTCCCTTTCCCATTACAATAAGTTTTATATTATGTTCTCCTGTAGGTCCATTACCAACAGTGCACGTTACTGACGTGGTAGTAGCCGCAGTGGCGTTACACGGTATACCACCTATTATAATGGTATTGTTGGTAGGAGTGGTATCAAATCCTGTACCAGTTATAGTGATAGATGTTCCTTGGGCTTCAGTACCTGGTGTACGAATAAAACAAACAAATATTAGAACACTG